CAGGGACCCACCTCGTGCACCCTGAGGGGCTGCTACATGCTGCTTTCTTGGCCCTGGCATCCATCTTGGCTCAGACCCCACACTCGCCCGCCCCCGAGCTCCCCCCACTCACCGTGCCTCATGTTGTCCTTCCACTCGCCCATGTAGCGGTCGCCATTGACAGCGTATACCTGGTGCCTCGGCCCGTTCTTCTGGGCCTTCTGGTCCCACTCCTTCCACAGGGGCTGTGACTTCTCGGGGCACTTGGTTATGGGCATGTTGGCTGCTTTGGTGGGGCCACAGGCACTGGCAGGGGGTTTGGGGACATCAGGGACCCTGTGCACTCACGTAGTGTCCAGGATCCTGGGGACTTCCCAGGAGGTGCCTGCTGAGCTCAAGGGGTACGAGTCATGTGTGTGTTCCCAGTCCCAGGGGCAGATGAACAGCCCTTGGTGGGGACCCTTTTCGCTGGACTGACCCTCGGCTATCCCCTCCCTTACCTCCTCCTGGGCACCCTGTCCCGGGGGTCTGATGGCATAATCACTTGGGAGCCCCAGGAAAGCAGGGAGTTTGTGATGGCATCAGGAAAAAGTTGCCCACAGCAGGGGTGACAGTCACTTACTGACTAACCAGCACAGCCAATAAGAGCAAGCTGGCCCTGGGCAGGTGCTTGGCCTGGGGACCCCTAGGGGGAGGGGCTGGGCCTTGGGGAGCACTGGGATCCACTCCAGGCCTCCAGGCCATGCTGGCTACTGGCACAGCCTGCAGGGATGCCCCAGCCCAGCACCCAGCACTTAGCTCCCTTGGTCCTCTGTCACCCGTCTGGTAGATGGGATGGTGGTGGAGTCCAGAGGCTGACTTTGCAGGGGTTTCTGAGCTGTCAGGAGAGCCTGGTCAATAAATCCCGGTGTGCCCAGGACCTGGGGGGGGGGTTTCCTGGGACCCCAGGTTTTAGCACTAAATTGGGGACAATCCCAGGCATGCCAGAAGGCTGGTCACTTTTCTACCTCTGATCTCCTAGGATTTTCCCATCACCTGGTTAGATCTCCCCATCAGATAAGGCTGTCCTCCTGGCCCTCCTGGTGGAGCTGCAGAGAGATGCAGGGTGGTCCAGGGACTGCCCCCTCTGTGTTCCTCATGTCCCCAGGGTCTCCAGTGTAGACATTCATGTCTGTCCGTCTGTCTGTCTCCAGGGGGCTTGTGCAGGGTGATAGAGTGGGTCCTCTCCAAATCCCAGAGACCCTTGCTTCCCCCCAGCAAATACCAGCTAGCCTCCTCCGTGGGTTGGGGAGTTCCACACACACTCCAGGGTCATCAGCAGCAGGGGCAAAAGTAAACATATGTGTAACCATCAGCATGCACGGTACTAAACAATCAGAATGACTTTTGGGCTGAGCAGGTTCTGGTGTTCCCGGCATCCACCCACCAGGGCTGGCTTTATGGGCTCTGACTTGTGCATGATTTGGGACTCTGATGTCACTGTTTCAAAATTCTTAATAATTTATGAACAAGGGGCCCCACATTTTAATTTTGCACTGGGCCCCGCACATTATATTGCTGGTCCTGCACCCACCCTTTATTTGCTGGATTGTGGGGAAGTCTGGGGTGCTGGAGGGGGAGAGCTGGGGCAGCACTATGGAAGGATTTCACGTCTGCCAAACACTGGTGTTGCCAGTCTGCATTTGCAGTAGTCCTATACGTTCTTCACCGAAAACCAAACTGAATGTCGGCGAGTCGATTCCAACTCATGGCGACCCCATGTGTTTCAGAGTAAAAGTGTGCTACAATGGCTGTGACCTTTCAGAAGCAGGCTGCCAAGGCCTTTCTTCCAAGCTACCTCTGGGTGAATCTGAATTGCCAACCTTTTAGTTAGTCACTGAGCGCTTAACCATTTGCATCACCCAGGCACTCCTATAAGGCCAGCCTAAATTGCACCTTCTTTGGGAATGCCTGGGATTGGAAGCTGCCGGTCCTTTCTGCCCTTCACCTCCAACAGAAGCCACTGCTAGAGGGCAGGTACTGGGTCTCCTATCTGTGGCGCCACCACACCCAGAGCTCAGCACATAGTGGCCCTCAACCAAGGACAGCCAAGTGGCTCCTGACTCTACCCTCTTCCTCCTCTCCTCCTGCCTCTGCCATTTTGTGCCCCTCCCATTTCCAGATCTCTTTCCAACCTGGGGTGGTACTTGCAGTTGAAAGACACCCCACCCACCCCAGGGTAAACCCTGGCTACAGCAGAGGCCCCCAGGAGTCTGACCCAGTTCTGCAGCCTGTACTATATTGGTTGTTATAAATATCTGGACAATCATGCCTAGGAATAAGGGAAAGGATACCCCGGGCAAAGCAAACAGCAAGAGCTGGGGTGGGGGGTGGGGGCGGGGCAGCCTCAGGTCCTAAGTTTGATGATTTTTTTCCAAGTACTAACTGTACTATTATTAATCTTTACATTTAAATGATCTTGCTTTAAAGAAAATAATACATCTATCAAAAAGGAGACTTTACATATCATTACTATGAATGGAAAACCAATTCATCAGGTGCCCTAGGGCGAAAGTAACCGTAAAAATAAAAACGTTAAAAAAGAAACCACACGACATAACGAAAGTAACTAAAGTCACTAAATTGTACATGTAAAAAATGTTAAAAGGGCAAATGTTTTGTTCGATATATTTTTACAACAATAAAAAAGAAAGAAACCAATGCTTAGGTCTTAGCTAGACACGAGTTAAAACAAAAAAGAGAGAGATGAGCAAATGTTGAGAGGTGTTAATGCCTTATTAGCCCCAAACTGACACTTTCTCCTTGGCTTACTCAGAATTGTAAGAGCACCCTGAAACGAATAAGGTTCTCACAGTGTCGTAGGGCGTTGCTGAAAGCCTTGTCGGTAACACTTAAATTCATCCCCCATCCCACACTTCTGGGGACATACGTTAAACTCAGGAGGAGGTTGAGGTCTTAATACTCAAGCTATTGATAAGAAAAGGAGGCCTTGAGTTGCAGTTCAGTCCCCGCGGACTCTGCCAGCTTGTTTTGATATTAATAACAATAATTACAGCAATGGGAGGAAGCCCCCGCCCCACCCGCGCCTGCTCCCCTGCGCTCACCTGTCGCGGAACATTGAACCCAGGTCCCGGGGCGGGCGCGGTGGCTCGCAGGCTCTCGCCCCCAGTCCGAGCCACTTGCGCTCGCTCTCCGCAGACCCGGCCGGGGTTGCTATGGCAACATGGAACCCCAGCAAAGGAACTCACCCGTCCCGCCCCTTCCTGCCGCGAGGCTGAGCGCTCGCCGGGCGACGAGTGGGGACTCCTGCAAATCTCCAGGCGGCAGGGAAGGACGTCTTCGGGCTCTGGAGGTCAAGTGCCATCTGCTCTACGGCTTGGTGGCTGAAGACTGGTGGGCAAGCCGAGGGCACCCCCACCCATCCCCATTTGGGGTTCCCCAGGGCAAATACAATGCGCGAAGCAGGCAGGAAAGGGGTTAAAGGCTTTTCTACAAGCCGCAAAGACAAAACTGCAAAATTTTAAGGGGAAACTATCACTCAGTTCTTACTTAGTCTTGTGGGGGTCTGGAACGCCTTTGAAAATCTGAGGCAAGCTATAGACCCTCCACTCCTTGGAGGATGCTTACCGATGGCGATGGAGTGGATTCCGACTCATAGTGACCCTATGTGACAGAGTAGAACTGCGTCATACAATTTCCCAAGGCTGTAATCTTTACGGAAGCAGACTGCCATATCTTTCTCCTGTGGAGCGGCTGGTGGGTTCTGCCACATCTTTCTCCTGTGGAGCGGCTGGCTGGCCCACCGCCAAACTTTCAGTTAGCAGCTCGGCTCTTGACCACTGCACCCCCAGGCCTCCGTTGGAAGATGCATACATTTTACATATACTTAAGTCCTCCTCTCACAACCTTCAGTAGCTCCCCACGTGTGACCTGCCCCCTCCACTTTCCTGTCTGACCTTGACCCCTGCTCCTCATACCCAGCCTCCCTCTACTCCAGCCTCACACTCGCTTCCTAGCTGTTCCTGGAAAACGATGGGTTTGTTCGTGCCTCGGAGCCTTTGCCTCTTCTTTGCCAGCTGCCTGGACACCTCTTCCTCCAGATAGCAGCCTGAAGCATTCTCTCCTCTCCTTCAGGACTTCAGTCAAATGCCACCTTCTCTGGGGTGTGGAGCTCCTAAGCCTTATAAAGACAGAGTAGAACTGCCCCTTAGGGTTTCCAAGGAGCAGCTGGTGTATTCAAATTGCCGACCTTTTGGTTAGCAGCCAAGCTCTTAACCACTGTGCCACCAAGGGCTCCAAAATTTATATATAAATTTTAGTATAAATATATATATACTTCCCAGCCCATTCCCATTTTATGCTCTCTTTAGCACTTAACACCATCATATATGCACGCGCGCACACACCCACCCACACAGACACACACACACACCTTGTTTCTTGTCTCTCTCTGTGGAATGAAAATACAGACAAGTTTAAATAACAGTACAATAAACACCTAGTACAATCTCTGCCTATATCGAACAATTACTGGCATTTTGCCACTGTTAAAAACAGGACTTTCTGTGCTTGTTTCACTGCTCTCTCCCTAGGACCTAGAAGAGTGCCTGGCACATAGTAGGTTGCTCAGTAAATATTTGTCAAACGTATGAATGAATGACTGTGCTTTCAGGACCTCACCCCTCCAGGAGTCCAGGTCCTTAGGTTAAGGTCTCCAGCTAGAGGCAGCCCTGAGGAACTGCGTTTTCCTGGGTGGAGGCTTACCCCAGGTGTCCAGAAGCAATTCTATCTTGCCCCAAACTGTGTTTTTCCTGTGCTATTCGGGCTGTACCCCCAACATCTAGCACAGTCCTGCCCTTAGCATGTACTTAGTATTTGTTGAATGGAACGACGTAAGTGTGCCAGTCATTGGCTCGTTTGTCCTTAGATCTACTCTTGGCGCTTGTCCTGCTCTGCTCTGTTTTGCAGCAGGGCTGCCTCCTGCCGGCTGCGTTTCTCAGGTCACCCGGTCAATTGACTTCCGGCTGCATTTAGACAGTGGGAGACGCGAGTAGGAAATTGAGTGAAGGATGGGAGGAAGCGAGTAGCCGGGTATTTCTTACCCTCTCTCTCTGCCTCTAACCCTATAGGGCAGTTCTACTCTGTCCTGTAGGGTTGCTATGGGCTCGCTATGAGTCGAAATCGACTGGACAGCAGCCAGTTTGGTTTGGTTTTCTCTCTGCCTCTAAGGAGCCCTGGTGGCGTGGTGGTTAAGTGCTCGGCTGCTAACCAAAAGGTCAAAGCCGCTGTGAGGGAGAAAGCTGTGGCAGTTGGCTTCCGTAAGGATT